TGTCAGCCAACAGGAGAAAAAGCAAGGCTTACAGAAGGATGCTCCTTCAGAAGGAAGCAGCACTAAAAGCACTTCAAATGAAGATGAGTAGGAAACCATCAAAGACATTTTGGATTTTTTTTTAAAAAAAGATATTATTCTACCCTTGAGATAACAGAGATACTGAAATAATTTCTTTGAAATCATGTAGCTCAAATGGACCCCGTGAAAATAAGGTATAGGGGTCCCCTTGCATTATCTCATTACTAATTTAAGGCTTGGTCAATTTGTTGTGCATCAAGACATTTTCATCCTAAGCATTAAATATTTATTGTATTGAATCCCTTAGGATGAAAGGTTTTTTTCAGAGAGGAATTTAAGGAAGAAGATAGTATGAAAAATGACTGGACCATAGTTTCACAAGGATAGAAACTATAATGTTCTTTACCACTAATGCACATTGTCTGACCTTTAGACACTCGAATGGATGTTGAATGAATGAATGCAAGTTCATAGCATATAATCATATTTAAAATGGCTATGTATTGTTGCTATTTTTATTCTGTAGGATAGGTTCAGTCATTCTTAATCTATTCAACAGCTTCACACAGCTCTATAAAAATTCTCCTCCAGATATTATCTTTATTAATGGCTAGATGAACCTTACATAACTACCAGATGAGTAAAATTGATTGCACAGTGACCATTAATAACAAGCCTTATTTCTCTTGATAGCTGTTCTACATTAACATATGAACACACATAGGTATATATAGATGTACATACATACATAAATACCTCCAAATTTTTGTCTCATCCAGGGAACAGGTTTAAAAAAATCATAAAATTTCCCATTTGAGAGACCTTTGGATTAACAATGTATTTAGCAGATTTCAAAATTAGATTCATGAAGTTAGTCTCTTTGACTTGGAGCCAAATTAAATTGTGTCCTTATTCACAGGACACAATTATATGCATAGTAATCAGACAGTATTAAATATTGTAGGTTTCTGATGAGACATTGAAAAAGAAGGAAATAAATCACAGCAATTGGGTTCTCCTATGATGCCAAATTGATAGTCACTTTTTTTGAAAACCATCAGCTAAAGCAGAGTATGCATGTATTTTATATAATATAGATATTAGATATGTACAATCATATATATTATACATTTATACATTTATTATACATGATTATAAAATCTAGATTTTACTTCTCTGTTTAAATGTATCTGTGTGTATATATATATATTCATATGAATAATTTATGAGATCTTTCATTTCAGCTCTGATTATTAAGTTAGCAAAAGTCTTAAACTGGGCCAGTCCTCTACAATGTTTTGGCTACATAACACCATATTTCTAGAAAGAGAAATATTATCATTTTCATGATTAATTTATCTATGATACCTTTTTATTTTCATAAAATAAGACTAAATGTTTCCATTGGTCCTGTGTTTACTACAGATGTTATTTTGCCATATTCAACTAGACTTTTTTTTATGCCATTTCCCATTCTGGGGATTTTCAGATATAATGTAGACTTTTAGAGAAATGAATAGCCTGCAGTGCTTTGCAAAGTTATAATTACATCAAGGAGTTCATAAACTAAAAGCCTAATGAAATTATTGCCGTGTAATTCTCTGTGGGTTGTTTTATAGTCTGTAATGCTATATTTGGTATGTGTTTTAAAATAATCAAAACAGCCCGGCCATTGTGGCTCAGTTGTTTGAGCACTTACCCATGCACCAAGAGGTCGCTGGTTTGATTCTGGGTCAGGGCACATGCCTGGTTTCAGGCTTGATCCCCAATAGGGGGCATACAGGAGGCAGCCTATTGATGTTTCTCTCATTGATGTTTTTATCTCCCTTCCTCTCTCTCTAAAAATCATTAAAAACATTTAAAAAAATAATCAAGGCAGCAGTAGGACAACAATAAACAAGTCTTCACCTAAGCTGTTCTAGCATAATCATAATTTCTATTTAAATAGATATAACTTTATTGCAAGTGAGACAGAGGAATGAGTCTCACAAGAAAGAAAAAAATTTTTAAGGCACAAGGGGCTTCTTAGACATCTTTCTTCCTAGTTTTCTAAAAGTTATGTGTAAGGAATTTTGATTATTTTATTATTAGCTCATGAGGATATTGAAAAGGAAATGAGATTATGGTTAATGGAAGAATTTACAACTTTCAAGAAATACACACACACACATACATATACATAAAGCTTGGTTGACAGTTATTTATAAGTTAAAAAATTGAAAAATGAAGATATTCCAAACATGCTTTTTGACAAAGGAAAGCAAAAACAAAACTTTATCATTATTAACATCCACTGGGAATGTTCCCAAGCATGAGGTGCCAAGAGGGGTAATTGGAAAGTCTGGGTCTGTTGCGATTAAGAATGCAGAACAAGACTATGATTTCTAAATCTGGCTCTACCACTTTTGACCTGTGTGGGAGCAACAGTATACCTAACTATAATAGGATGAGCTAGATTAGCACTCAGTTGTTACAATTGAACCTCAAACTCAGCCATTTACACAACAACTTTTACTTCTCACTCATACAAAGCTACTATAGGTTCCCACAGACCTCCAGGGCAACCCTGATCCTTCAGTTGGCCCAACATTTCAGGCTGCTTGAATCTTATGTCATCTTCATATTGATAAGGGCCTTCATGCCATAAAGGGAAAGAGATAGCTTGGAGAATCTATTACAAGCTTCTATCTTTTATTTGATGACAATAGATTTTTTAAAAAAAATATTTTTATTGATTTCAGAGAGAGAAAGGAACATCAATGATAAGAGAGAATCATTGATCAGCTATCTCCTGCATGCCCCCCCACTTGGGATCAAGGCCATAACCCAACCTGGGCATATGCCCTGACATATGCTCTGACCTGGAATTAAACTGTGACCTCCTGGTTCATAGGTCAACACTCAACCACTGAGCAACACCAGCTGGGTGACAATATTGATTATTGTGAAACAGGCAGAAAAGAAAATTAAGATGAAGTTAACCCAAACTATTTAAATATTATATTGTCCCTTGAGAACCTGAAAGGGCCTAAAAATAATCCATTCAAGCCCTCTTATTTTACAGATGTGAAAGCAAACACTCAGAGAAAGTATAAAAACTTTTGTCCAAGGTTATACAGCCAACAACTGCAAAGTCTGCAGTAAAACTCAGATATTTCTCCTAGCTCCCCTACTGGCTATAATTCCACCAACTTTTGGATGTGTGCTAACCTTTGGATGTAGGCTTCTTTTGTTATAGCCTAGAGACCAGGGTGACATTCTGGTAAGATGTCTCTCTTCCAAATTTATACTTAATAGAAAACCCAGATATGATGGTAATGATAGAGGGAATGTCCCTAGACATCAAATGGAATTGCAACAACCATTATTAATGTCTATTCATTTTTAACAGTGTGATACTGATTGTCCAACCCAAATGAAAATCCAGAGTTAAATACCATATTAAATAATAATATTTTTGCATATGGCAGGAAAGAATAAGATCTGAGAGAAGAGAGAGGATAGCATGCCACAGAACACTGAACATAGTAAAAAATAAGGTCTGTTTATCATTTTGTGCTTTCTGAAGCAACATTATTTTAAGATGAGTTTGCCCCAGATCTTTACTCGCACCACACTGTAAGGCCTATGTTAACAGTAGGGAGAGCTAGAGTGCTGTGCTGTCACAATGATTGTGTTCCATTTACAGAGCAAAGGGGAAATCAAACACCATGTCAAGAATAGCAAAGCGCCTACTGTATTTATTGAAATGTATGGCTGGCAATGCTTAATACAATCACTTCCCACTTGAACAGATTCAGGTTCAAAATGTAGCTTCAATTATCTCTAAAATGAATGGCATGCTCAGAGCTCTATTAGCTCTTCCATTAATTTAGATCGTAATCATATCAACTTTCTCCTTTCCCTTACCCCACTTCCATTCAGACCCCTCTGGTCTTGAGGCTGAGCTGAGAAGGAATGCAGTAGGGTAGCCACCCCAAAGCATGCTGGGAAACGGCGGATCAGAACTACTGCTGTCAGTTACTTCTTTGCTAAACATCTCCTCTTGCAAAACTGACCACTGTTTAAATCAGTTCAGAGATGCAATGATTCTATGCAATAGTCCTGGCAACACTCTGGCCCTATATAATGTAATCTGACTTTAACAACAAGAAATATTATTTATTCAAATGGTGACTCGCTTAACTTGATGACACAGTCAGAAAATAGTTATATTCCTAAAGCTAGTATGGCTCTATCAAAGATTCTGCAAAATCTTCTTTAGTGTAATGAGGACTGTAACGACATTTTTGTTTATTATTAAGTACAACATATACAGGGTGGGGCAAAAGTAGGTTTATAGTTGTTTGTATGGAAAATAATATAATAACTAATAAATAATAATACAAAAATAAACTGTTTTTCCTACTCACAAGTGTAACCTACTTTTGCCCCATTCTGTATTTAAAAAAACAAAAACAAAAACAAAAAAAACACAACCAAAGCTGGTACCTCCTATTCTTTTAAACATGGCATTGATAATATTCTTCCTCCAATAGATTATGAATCAGAGAGGTCTAGATAAGAATAAAAGTAGCCCCTTCATGGTATAGCTTGGACTTCTCAAAGATGGTATTTGTCATTCACATCAAACCTGAGCAAGTATTCGGGCTAGTTTTATATGTTAAAACCAGAGGGGAAGGCTTAGCAAGGACACTGCTTCTTGTTTCAGATGAGGCAAGCTGAAAAGATGGATATCATTTGGCTCATACACTGAACTCCCCTCCCTTTTGTTCCTGCTTCTCTCCTGCTTGGAGCTGGCTCCTCCCTCCTTCCTGCAGCTCCGAGAATCACTGGCTGATTGAAGAACACAGCCGTTCAGATGGGGAGCTGTGCTCTGTGTCTCTCTCATCCTCTCTCTCTTTCTCTCCCACTTTCTCTCTCTCTGCCTCTCTCCCTGAATCGGCAAAGCTGAAACCTACCTGATAGTCTCTCTGCCTTTGAATCCAGCTCTGGAAACAAATGCATCATTTTACTGCTCTTAAAAAGTGAAAAGAGTTTGATTTTCTCCAGCTACAAACTGCTTTGCTCCATAAGAAGGACCCTAAAGGACCCAGACAGCATTTTTTTTTTCCAATCTGCCTGAGGAGCTTTTGCTTTTATGCCTGAAACTTGATGGTTTTAGGGAGGAGGTTTTGGTTGGGTTTGTTTTTAATGGGAATGTTGAAAAGTTTCTTATTGATGCTTTCAATGGAATCCAATTTTTAATATGGGTTGAGTCAGATCTAAAGGAGAAATGCCTGACCATTTTCTGCTCGACTGACGGGGGAACATGTAGAGGGAAACTTGGTAGGAGAAAAATGAGATCTGATTTGCAACTAACAGCTCAGCTTTATTTTGAGAATATGTACAGGCTCAGGGAAAGGGAAATTAAATATTGACCGAGGACAATGTCTGTATTTCTCAGTAACTTAACAAATGACTCTAGTCTATGGAAAGAGAATCATAATTCGACAGATCTTTTAAATCCACCAGGAACTCTGAACGTCTACCTTTTTTGCCTGACGTGCTTACTGACTGTCGCAGCCCTGGCAGGCAGCATCTATTCACTAGTTTCCCTGCTGAAAACGCAGAACAGAACTGTTGTGTCCATGCTCGTGGCGTCCTGGTGTGGGGACGATCTCCTGAGCGTCCTGTCGGTGACCATCTTCATGTTTTTGCAGTGGCCAAACGAGGTCTTTGACTACTTCCAGTCTCTGTGCGCCACCTCTGCCTTACTCTATCTGTGCCAGGGCCTCTCGAGCAACTTGAAGGCGACGCTCCTAGTCTCATACAACTTTTACACGATGCGCAGGACTGGAGGGAGCCAGGCAGCCTCCAGAAGATCCAGCCAGGTGCTCGGCGTGGCCCTGACGGTGTGGGCAGCCAGCCTGCTGCTCTCCGCGCTCCCACTGTGCGGCTGGGGCGCTTTCGTGCGCACGCCCTGGGGCTGCCTAGCGGACTGCTCCAGCTCCTACGTGCTGCTGCTCTTCGCCGTGTACACTTCAGCCTTCGGACTGCTCGCCGGCCTCTCGGTCCCGCTCATTCACCAGCTGCTGTGCTCAGAGGAGCCGCTGAGACTCCATGCCCACTACCAGGAGATTTCCCGCGGAACGTCCACCCCCGGGACCCCTCCAACTGGGGAGAGAGTGCTGTCCCTGTGCCCAGAGGATGCTCTGGGCCCTGCCCTGCGTCGCTTCGCGGCATGCTCCCCGAACTCGGATGCCGTGTTGGGGCCGGGGCCGCCCGGGAGGGTGGAGCAGGAGCGCGGGCAAGGGCGCAGCGCCGCCGCTGGGGCTGGAGCCTGCAGGCGTGAGGACCCAGGGACTCTCTATGGCACCAGGAGCTTCAGCGTGAGCACAGCGCAGAAGCGCTTCTCTTTGATCCTAGCGCTGACCAAAGTCATCCTTTGGCTTCCCATGATGGTAAAAGCGCAGTTGCTCGCAGCGCGCGGGTGTGTGTGCCAGACAGCGTGAGTGCGTGTTGGGACCGGGCGCCCCTGGTTTGGGGAATCACCGAGAGTCCGCTTCCAAATGTAGCTCTCCCGGTTTTAGAGATGCGCTTGTAGGAAGGCAGTTGAAGGGCAGCGCTGATCCGCAGAGAAGCCTTGATACCAAATGCTTCTTTCAAAATATTAAAATTGAGGAGGGGGCGAGGAGAGCTTTGGGGCATTCGCTACTGAGTTTTCCAAGATCTGTCGTGGCCAAGGGTGTTCACCTCTCTCATAGCAACCCCTGGGAGTATTCAGAAAAGGAGGCAGTTATATAAAAAAGAGATGTGTTGTTGTTTCTCCCCCATCTTCTGTTGTTATTCCGTTCTCCCCACTCCATTCCTGCCTGGTTAAGAGGAAACGCCCATCCCATCTGGAGAGGCTCAATCAGAAGTAGAGAAGAGAAGGGACTAAACAGGCTTTTGTTCAAGCCTTCACAGGGATCCCAGTTGAGAAGCACCAGGGCAGCACCCTCTATGACAGCTGGCCTGCACAGAGGTGACATTCCAGGGATGTGACAAAGGGCCATCCGGGGGACCAGGCTGCACAGACACTTGCCTGTTTTCCCAGTAGCACCCCAGATCCCCATTGTGGACTGTGCCTCCTTGGTGGAGACCTGAGCTGGCGGCAGGCAAGATCAGACACTCAGGAGTGTAAACCCCCAAAGTCCTGTTCTGTCTGGAGCATCTGAGATCCCAGGAGACCACCACTAAAGCTAGGGGTGCCAGCCCAGAGGCAGAACTTCCGGCTCTAGGGCAGGGAAGGGGCCAGGAAAAGGAGTCTGGGACAGCATGCTTGGGGGAAAGGTCTGGGGAAGTGAAAGTGTGATGCTGGGATATGTCTGAAGCTCTCTCCTTTGCAGATCCACATGGTGGTCCAGCACGTGGTGGGTTTTCAGAGCCTTCCCTTCGAGTCACTCAGCTTCCTACTAACCCTGCTGGCCACCACTGTAACCCCCGTATTTGTCTTGTCCAAACGCTGGACCCACCTGCCCTGTGGCTGCATCATCAACTGCAAGCGGGATGCATATGCAGTGGCATCCGATGGGGGAAAAAGTAAGTCCTCCTCAGTGTGGTGGTTGGGAGCAATAGCATACAAATACAGAAAAGTGGTCTATTGAGAAAGTTGCCCACCGAGTAGGGGGCGAAGAGTCCAAGGACAAATGTAAATGGAAAACAGAGGAAAGAAATTATAATGTGACAATTTTTGGCACAGTGCTGGAAGGAAGTTTTAAGTAAGTGGGTTTAAAACAGCGCTGTGAAGTGCTTATACATTGAATAATAATTTCAGGTAAATTCAACGAGGGCTCTTGGGCATCCGGTCCACCATAGCTCTTAGCCCAGAGTAGGAAATAAATTCATCTCCCAAGTCTACATTAAGAAGCCTGCATCTGAAAAGAGATGAACTCTCTAAAGAGTTAAAGATTCATTATATTATAGCCCATTATTATTTAATGGAACAGTACAGAAGAGCATTTTCAGTATTTGCTGCTTGTATTCTTCCAGGGTTTAGGAGAGTTTTTAGAGTAACAATAAATGCCTGGAAACAGTTCCAAAACAAAATTTAAGTGTATGCCTCTGCTTTTAGAAAAACACAAAACAAAATCCCCACCAAATACCTGAGTTTTTTTTTAAAAAAAGGACAAAGCATATAAAAAACATTAACAAGTCGATAAATTCTAACCGTCTATCAAATGTTAACCTCTTGCCACTAAATTAATGAACCAGCTTCTTGTAGTATTTAAAATTGTGAAAAAGAGTCTAGTGCCAGTGAAAATGGAAAGTCTGAGTTAAGTGGTTCAGGACAGTTCTTTTAAGAAGTGAAGAGCACCCGTATCAGAGCTGAAAAGTAAAGCAATGCAACAGACGTCACTGCAAACGGTCGGGAGTGTTCTATCTGACACGGCCGAGATAGAAGGGCGTAGGGCAAACCAGCAGAATCAACAATAACATTAAAACTTCATGTTTGAAATAAAAACCATGCCTTTCAAGATCAAAATAATAGTTTTCTGTATCTTGCTCTTGTTTGTATTTATTTTAAAATTCAGGGAAGGCCCTGAAATATGTAGGCATACAGAAAGAGACATGGATTCTAAAATAAAATGTGAGAAATAATTAATTTAAAATACTTATAGTTCAAATGACTCCAAGACTCAAGGGGCATTCTTTGAATAAAAATGATATATTTTCACTGTCTGAGGATTCCGCATAAATTTTCCTTTTGCTAGGACGACACTACAGAAAACCCCAAAGATGGCCTGTCCTCAAGTATGCAGAGGCTTGATTAATTACAGTACCTTGATTCTTGGGAGTGTGACTCCGATTTCACATTTAAGCTTTTTCTCCTCAAAAAACTAAGATCCCCCCTTTAAATCTTTATCAGTGAACTCCAGAAACAAGAAAGGAATTTTTCCCTAACTCAAACTTGCCACAGGTTCATTATGCAGATGGAAATATAATTCCACATCTCAGCTTCACTGAATGGAAACTGAGACTTGCAACCTGATGATGAGCGTCAGGAATAAAAGTACTCTACAGAAATAACAATTCTCTCCAGCAGTCACCTGTATTATGTCTCAAAAGAAAAATGTAAAAAAAGAAAAAGGGTTTTAACAGTCTCAGGTGGTAGACATATGCATTGGATATGGCTTTCAGACTCATTTTGTTTGCATGATATGTGTTCTTTTTAAATTAAGTAGTTAAAATATTTTATATCACAATCAGATTTTAAGCTTTAATTGTGAACAAAATCAGAGTATCTGGTGACATATTTCTCTGAAGAATTATTTTTATAAATTGATATAATTACATATGCATACATTGTAATTAGCAAGTTATGATTAAAACGAAAGACTACAGCTAATCATGCTTTTCAGAGTTTTGTTTTTCAGAATAGATACATTATATCTCCTTTTCTTAAGTGTAGTATAGACTTCAAAAGATCCTGACTATATTCTAATAGTCTAAGTTACTTGTCAGTTATTAGTCAAGCCCTGTTAACTCTTTTATATTGTTATAACCTATTACATATATTAGTTAACTCAGTCAGTATTTACCATAATGTTAAGGAAAGTCACTAACAAGAAGTGTTTTTATTGGTTACATTTCATAATTAATGCACTGTCCCTAACTTAAAGACAGCACATCTGAGACATTATGAGAGTTTTCTAATTAATAGTTAAATTTTTTATACATAAAACTGATTTAAAGACTACTGGGTTCTTGGAATTGGATGTATTTCAAGCCTCTCATTGTGCAAGAGAGAAACACTAGGCACAGAGTGAAAAAATGACTTGAATTTGTGAGGCATAATTTCTTTGCATAATTGACAAGAAGTAAATGAAGATAGTTTTTAAATTCATAGTAATGAGGTTGAATGCACTTTCCTAATTTTATTTACTATGTATATTCAACTGTTGTTTATATCTACTTTCCTAACCATGGAATTTTGTTTTTGTTTTTACTTAGCCAAGAGAAACTGCTTTGAATTCAATCTATCATTTGAACAAAGTTATGGAATTTATAAAATAGCACATGAAGATTACTATGGTGATGATGAAAATTCTATATCCTATCACAATCTCATGAACTATGAATGCAAAACTCCAAAAGATTCTCAGAGAGACACTCCTAATATCTTCAGTGCCATAAAAGTGGAAATCAGCACTACACCCTCCCTGGACAGCTCCACACTTAAAGGAATTAACAAGTATACGAATACTGATATTATAGAGGCTAAACAGGATTCCCGAAATGAAAAGGGCGTTGGCCCACTGCTCTTTGAAAAAACAGGTGATACTCACTATGAAGAAACCACCTTTTTGGAAGGGCCAGAAAGAAGACTTTCTCATGAGGAGAGTCAGAAACCAGACCTTTCAGACTGGGAATGGTGTAGGAGTAAATCAGAAAGAACTCCTCGTCAGGTACAGTAAAGATTATTCTTCCTGTGAAATTAAAGTGAGAACAAATATGACAGGCAAAAAAAATTCTCAGTTGCATATTCCATTCAATCAAGTCCAAGTCTAATTACACTTGCCTCAATTAATTTCCATAATACTAAACTTTATTTTTGAAAGGACTTTACATTTTCATTCCATATATATATATATATATATATACACAAATATATATCTATATATACACAAATATATATCTATATATACACAAATATATATATATATATACACAAATATATATATATATATATATTTGGGGATTAAAAGAGTTAAATAGATTATTTGAGAATTATAGGGCAAGCAATCTACTTAAATTCAGACTAGACCCTCAGAAGTTGTTTCAAATTAGTTAACTTGTAGGTTTTATTATTCCTTCACCCAAAAAGTATTTGACACCAAGATAAATTTCTTTTTTTAAATGTAAAGGCAAATATTTATACAACTAGTGGTGAGAAGGATAGTCCTGCTGCAACTATTCTAGACAGGTTGCATGTTAATCTTGCTAAAACTAGTCCCTCTAGTTCTCCTTAGCAATGAAATAAAGAACTATTCCAGAATACACACAAGTGAATCTTTGCAAGCCCTACTGAATGTCTATCCTTTTAAGGATGAAAGAAAGGTTTTATAATATCTATACTAATAAAAGGGTAACATGCTAATTAGGGCAGATGTCTTCCAGACAACCTTCTGGACGTCCTTCTGGACAAAGCCACAGTGGCTGCGAGGGCCGAGGCTCAGGCAGCTGTGGGCGGCTTCAAAGGGCCGAGGCGTGGCTGTGAAGGGCCCAGGCTCAGGCCGGCAGTGGCAGCAGCAGTGGGGTAATGGGGGTGGCGCCTTCCCCTGATCCACCAGGTCACTTCCTGCAGAGAGAGGCCAGACTGTGGCTTAGGCCAGGGGCTGAGACAAAGTTGGTTAAGGGGCAATCAGGCTGGCAGGGGGGCAAGGTAAGGGTGATCAGGCTGGCTGGGGGGGAAGGTCGGGGCGATCAGGCCAGCAGGCATAGGCAGTTAGCTTAAACCAGCAGTTGGACATCCCCCGAGGGGTCCCAGATTGAAGAGGGTGCAGGCCAGGCTGAGGGACATCCCCCCCATACATGAATTTCATGCAGCAGGCCTCTATCTATACTAATAAAAGAGTAATATGCTAATTAGACTGGGAAACCTTCCAGACATCCTTCCAGACAAAGCCATGGTGGTGGGCCTAGGCAGAGGTGATTAGGGGCAATCAGGCCAGGGCAGTTGGGGGCAAGCAGGCTGACGGGGGGGGGGGCAGTTGGGGTGAGCAGGCAGGGAGTGGGGGGCAGTTGGAGGCAATCAGGCCGGTGGAGGGGGCAGTTGGGAGCGAGCAGGCTGGCACGGGGGGCAGTTGGGGGTGATCAGGCCAGCATGGGTGGCAGTTGGGGGTGATTAGGCCAGCAGGCAGAGTGGTTAGGGGTAATCAGGAAGGCAGGCAGGTGAGCGGTTAGGAGCCAGCAGTCCCGGATTGCAAGAGGGATGTCGGGCCTAAACCGACAGTCGGACATCCCCTGAGGGGTCCTTGATTGGAGAGGGTGCAGGCCAGGCTGAGGGACAAACCCCCCACCCCCGCCTCCGCCGTGCACGAATTTTGTGCACTGGGCCACTAGTATAATAATAAAAGCGTAATATGCTAATTAGATCAGACATCCTTCCGGATGACCTTCCAGACGAAGCTGGGACTGTGAGGGAAGACTGGGTCCCGGGTGCCAGAGGGAAGCTGGTGCTGGCAGCCAGGGGAAGGAAGGCCTACTCTTGCACAAATTTGGTGCTTCGGGCCTCTAGTGTTTTATAAAAGTGAAAGAATTTATACATTAATTTCATCCCCTTCTCTCCTAGATTCCAAGCTGTCTAGAATGGGAAACTTCTTATTTTATTGAAATTTGTAATGTTATATTAATATGAGATTATTCTTTCCTCCAAAGTCTCATATCTGATAATTAAATTTAATGCTTTCCACACTATTTACTAGGCAGAGAAGTATTTTCCTACATGATTTGATGGAAATCAAAGCCCAATTGCTCCCATTCACTGGAATCAAAAGCATAGCTCTACAAATATCTGCTAGAAATAGTGCCTTCATTATTGGACCATATAATAGCAACTGTGAATATGAGCAGAATAATCTGAGATTTCTTTTATTCTCTTTTTATGTTTCTTTTATCCTTATTGATTAATTAAAACTACTAATCTTACTCTGACATCAGCATTTTAAAAGTTGGTTAATAAAAGAAACTATATTATTAAAAATAATTATTCATAGTTTCGTGATTTGATATCTCACCAAATATTTTCCATAAGTTAAGAAATACAGTGAAAAGTGTATTATCGACAGGACACAATGCTCAGTATTTTTAGAACAATATGGTACCCTGAATTCCTATTATTTCAGCATCAATTTGCTCCTGAATAATCTAAACTTCCTGGTTCTATGTAATACTTTTTAAGTGTGTGTGTGTGTGTGTGTGTGTGTGTGTGTGTGTGCATCCCAATAACTTGCAACTACCTATGTGCCACTGCCCCATCCCATCCTCATGCATACCCCTTAGGCATTACAGCTATCTTGAATCTTCCTCATCATTTTTTTGTTTTATTGTCTTAGCATAAATGAACATAATAAATGAACATAATTCTAGCCCAATATATTGTTTAGTTTTCCTTATTTTGAGCTTTCTAAAGATGGTATCATACTGTACCTAGTCTTCTGGGACTTCCTTTTCTTCCACTCAACTCTATTTTCTTATGTATTTTCTTACAATATTGGCTATTATCATCTAAAACATAACAATTTAAAAGTCTTGGTTGTAGGTCAGAGATTATAATCAAATAACTACACTTATAAATATGAAAGGATTAGACACTTTACATATCAATATATATAGTCTTAAGAGAATGAAGAAACACAACTTACCACAAACCTCTTGTAAATCAAAAAATAAAATTGTATGGAAAGCACAAAACTTTTATCAACCCAGATATCTTTGAACTATAAAAATTTGCTTACTGAATATTAATATTTTAACATTTGTGAAGAGCAAGTAATTAAGGAAACTGATCTAAAATCATGGCTTTAAAAAAATTATTAGTGGTAAAATAGATAATAGGATATTTAGGAAAGGTAAAATTTACATTTCCAGAGACTAATTGAAATTAATTGAAATACTATCATAAATTTTAAAACAATAGTAAGGAATCCTTAGGCCATAGGCTAATGTTATTGGTATAACTTTCTTTGCAAAATTGACTATGGAATTTAAGGTTAACATTATAAAATATATTTAGGATTGAAAAGCTTATGAGAACTTTTTCTATGACAAAAGCCAGGTGTAAAGTCTTACTCTATTCTTCAGCAGCAAATATTTCCTGGGGATAGATGGTGACTTGGAAAGCACTTTCATTTCATCCTTTTCTTCCAAGACCTTCTTTGCTCGGAAAGCTATGTTAACTTATGTATCTTATAGTGATATATTAAACTGTAGCAGAGGGGCCCGGCCTGCATGGCTCAGTGGTTGAGTGTCAAGCTATGAACCAGGAGGTCCCTGGTTCAATTCCTGGTCAGGGTATATGCCTGGGCTGTGGGCTCAATTCCCAGTTGGGGGCATGCAGGAGGTAGCCGATCAGTGATTTTCTTTCATCACTGATGTTTCTAACTCGCTCTTCCTCTCCTTTCCTCTCTGAAATCAAATAAAAATCTATTTAAAAAATAAACTGTAGCAGACACTGCAGCAACTTTATGAAAATACTATCTCTTTTGATTTTTCTATGGTTGTGCTTTCAATTATGTAGGCTCAATTTATCAGCTCCTCTCTAATGGCACCGACATAAAATAGTGTGAGTTCTTTGTTCTCAGGCTTTAAAAAAATCAGGTTTGATTTAAAATACATTTAGTAAGCCTTCCTTTACAATACACATTGGTTATTTTATTAGAGTTTGTGTTAGTAAACAAATTCTCAGTACATTTTGTTGGAAATCCTCATGGGAGTGAGTGTCAGATCAAGGTTAAGGTGTAAAGAAGATAGTATTAGAATGGCATTAGCAGGGTTAATTTTAAATGTGATCCAATAAACTTTATCAGAGTAGGGCTAGCCCTGCTCTTTAAAGTGTGTGTAAGACTGCAATTCATTGTTAAGCTTAGCCACATAATCACTTCCTTTTGGAACCCTATAGTGTAGAATCCTAAGCAGTTCACTATTAATTTTCATTATAGTCAGAAAAATAGTCATGAGAAATGTCAGAGTTCTTCTGTTATAGTTTTAATGTGGTATGAATGTACCTCAAATGAAATAATGATTTTTCCAGAACCCCAAAGACTTGTCATCTATGAATAAAGAAAATTGGATTTATAAAATAATTTAGAGGCTTGTGGGTGATCACTATAATTTTCTCTTTTAATACGAAGTTCAACAAATTTCCCATGGATTTCATTTTCTTTTCTTTAACATGTTGTCTTAAAGATCTAGAAACTCATTTATTTATTATAAATTAGAAACAAAGATATGAGGTAACTATGCCACTTAATCCCACTGGTAATTCTATCATTATAGCACTTAAGGTGAAAGGCTCTCCACTATGTCAGTAGAATATAGAAAAACAGTTCTGAAACAAACCTTCTCAAATGAGTATAAGCAGGGGGAAGTGCTTGCATTTGATTAGCTACACAAACCACTTGGCATTAGGTAGACTAAACCAACAAGAAGTAACTTTAAAGTCACATAAGAATCAAAGAAATTTTATGTTAAAAAAAAATACTTTATCTAAAAAGTTTTACAAGTTGTATTATTTGCTAATATTGATTTCTATAATCTTTATAATATTACCAGAGGCCAGGTGCATAACATTCGTGCACGCATAGGGTCCATAGACCAGGCCAACAATCAGGGCTAATCTGTGGGGCGACTGGCAGGGCTATCAGGGCCCCGCCTCCCGCCACCGCCACCAGTCACCTCCCTCTGC